ATCCAATTGTGGCGCACGCATGTTTCCTCCTTTTGTGAATGACTTTTCGCCACTAACCATCCACTCATTCCACTGTTCTCGAATGCGATCTTTAAATGACTTGTTTAGGCACACATCCAGTGGCTGTACCAATGATGTCAATCCTGCAGGAATAACTGCCGCATCTGTGTTTATTCTTGCCAGCCTTTTCTTTGTGCTGGTAGTTAAATGAGCCCTGAACATATCCCACACCAGTAGGCTACGTTCTTGACGAAGTCCACCTGGTCGCCTACTCCATACATTATCAAGCCATAGCTTTACCCCTTCTTCATCCATCCAGCCTTTTTCATTCACATGTACAAAAACTCCAACAGGGAACTTGATTTTCGGCATTGTTTTTCTTTTAAAAATAATCATTGGTCTTAGTTTGGCGCCATCAGCTGTACATGCTAGTACCACTGTAAAACTGGACTTCTCATGTCCTGTTGTTTTAATTAACACTGTTTTTGCACCTTTTGGATTAACAGTTTTATTTCCAACCATATCAAAATTCATAGGAGTTTCATCCATATTTCCGATCTGACTTAACGCATAGCCATGTTTCTTGCGCTGTTGTATTACATATCGATGGAAAAGACTTACTTTTCCATCGAGATCTGCAGGTAATTTTTGTGCAATTTTGGTCTTTTGCCTCAGTACCAGATTATGCCTTTCCATGAACCTAGTACACCAGGATACAGTGGCCTTAAATCCTTTGCTGTGATCTGGGTTAGATTTGCCCCACTGAAGTGCAAACATACGTATTTTGTTTCGTGTCACTACATAACCATTTTGACGATGCTCATGCACCATGTCTGCTACGTGCTTTTCAAGTTCTGACCAATGTGGGGTGCCTCTTCTTAATGCACAATTACTACTTGGCATACTCTTTAATGCTTTCCAGTCTCGGACCATCTTTTCTGTTACTCCATATTGCCTTGCAGCAGCACAGTTACTATGTTCCTAGGCAAACTTTACAACTTTCAGCTTGAAACTGGCTTCAAATTTCCTTCTTCTTGTTGGAGCCATGATGGGGTCTTTTCTACCCACCCACTTACAGAAGGTTGGAGACCACTGCTTTAGATCTACTGAATAGTTACAGGGCTTCCAACAGGGTTACAGAAAAGCCATATTGTTATAGAGAACCTTTCCAGACCAAGGCCAGCAGGATCCAGAAGCACAGACAAAGATAGGTAAATACAACTGCAAATAGACTCAAACCCTCAATCTTTTGATCCAAAGTCACACACCTTGTCCTTTAGGCCATGCAATCCTCCCACCCACTTATAGACGCCGGCGCTCACCGTGCGCCACGTGCCTGGGGCCAGCCCCAAGCACCGTGTCGGGGACCAGGTACGTTCTATGCCCGGCATATAACACGACCCCCGATTTTTGGGGGATGTTTTTTAGTGTAAAAAGTCGTGTTATACGCCGGAAAATACGGTACTCTTTAAATATAGAGCGGCAGTGGGGTAGATCCCAGACCCTGTGCAAGCCACGACTGAGCCTAGCTGCTGGCCAGCCTGCTAAAAAAATGCTGGCAAGTGTGGGAGAGCGCACACTTATCGGGTAATCGACTACTTTTACATCCCTAGAGCTAGTGTAGAGCATGATGTGCAAAATTGTATTAATGTATTAATTGTATTAATTGTATATTAGCCCATCCCAGGTTAGAAGTGAACAACTGTGGTTTTGGTAGCTGCACAGTCTAGAAGTGTCAAAGGCATAAGAACTGTGGTGTGGTCCATTTCTGTCTTTGATTGTGGGGCAGTCAGGAAGAAACTCAGATATTTACCTGGTGGGTTTTATTTTCCAGCGGCAAGACCACCCTAAATTCTGATTTACTGAGGGACAGTCTCCACTTGTTGATATTTTTGCTTTCTACTACCAGTTCTCTGTAAATCTCTCCATGAGTGATATACCTTAGTGCTTGATTGCAATATCCAAACAGTATTGTTAAACTTGCACATCTAAATCTCAATTATTGCTGATTATATACTAGCGATGTGCATGGATAACTGGTTAACTAGCTAGGGCTAGAGCAGCCCACCATAGACAGGGGTGTGCTCCAACCCTGTGGAGCCCACTGCAGGCAGAGGGTGCACGAACCTGGCCAGCGAGGCCCCCACCTGTAGTAGGCCCCTCTAGCTGACCATAGTAGCCCCCACCGGTGGCGGGCCAAGCCCAGGCATGCACAGGCAGTGACACTCCTGCCCAGCTGGTGTAGTCCCCACACCCACCTCCATTTAATCAGTTAACCGGTTAAACATAACATTTAACTATTTAATTAAATGTGATTTTTACATCCCTATTATATGTATTGTATGACCCTTAACCAAAACTTTTATTTGTACATAATCCAAGCATGACACGTATATGTACAGAAACTTTTTCTCAAAATGTGTATTATGTACATCTTTTTAACATTAACTTAAATAACATTTTTTAAATCTGAGCATTGATGGTATTTATGTAGATTTAATGCTATATTATTTATACAGAAACAAGGGATTCCAAAACAAACATGCAGTTGCAGTAGAATCTCTGAATCTAAACAACACCTTTCAAAATAAGTGAAGGGCAGTAGTATTTTTTTATCTCTTGGTTCATTTATATGCTAATTTGCAAAATGAAGTAAACTACAATGGATCTAGTCATCAGAGTGAGTTAGCAGGTTTCTTTAGTATTAAAGAGATTCATTCTCTACTGAAATGCATATCTTGTGGAGGGCAATCACTTAGCAGCAACAAAACCATTCAGGACAGCAGTATAATTCTTTATTTAACATTTTTTGTCTTTAGTGATGTATGCCTCATTATAATTACGTGTAGTGATTAGAATCTTCAATATGCCTTTTGTGGTATGCAGTAGAATTAACTGTTGAAGAATTGCAAGTCATTTCTTAGTCATCTTCTTGCAGATTACCATTTTCATTTCTGCAGACATTCTTAAATTTCCCAGTAGAAGAGATTAATTGTTTGGAAAGTAAGTCAATCCAAAAGTTAAATGAAGATCAGTAAAGTTTTTTTCCTCCAATGAAAAGTACAAGAAACATCCATGGATACAGTCGGGCATCTTGGCTTCTACAAAAACATAAGCCCAGATTCTGCCTTGGTTTGTGGCTGCTTTATGCCACTCTGCCAGCACAAAGCACTTCTAAAGTCCAAGATATCCTCCAGTGGCATAGAGACAGCTACTGGTCATAATCAATCATATTTTTGTGGAATTTTACTGGTGCCCCAAAGGTTCTGAAGTACAACAGAGAAATTGTATACAGCATAGTTGTAGCCATATCAATCCCAGGGGTATAAAAGTGATAAGGTAATATCTTGTATTGGAAATACTTCTGCTAGTGAAAGACAAGCTTACACAAAGCTCTTCAGCTGGTCTCACTCACCAACAAAAGTTGATCCAATACAATTATTACCTGACCCACTTTGTCTCGGTAAGAAGAGAAATTGATCGGTCTTGACAAGCAGGAGCAGAGTGACATTAACATTTCAAATCAGCAGAAGAAATATAGGAACTGTTCGTAGACACAGGAAGACAATAGTCCATTGATTGGTGTTCGGTTCACATTTGGCAGGGCATCTCAGCCATAAGTATTAGAAATTTAATATTATTTTAAGGAAAAAACCTATATTCTTTTGCAGAAATTGATGGCTTAAACCAGGGCTACTCCACATGCTGCCCGCGGCCTGTGGTGTGGGTTTACACGGGGCTCAACACATGGCCCGTGGGTGGGATCCTTTGAACGTGGCCTCCGCTGGGAACATGCTCCACAATGGCAAGGCGTCTCCCATATGGGTTGAGCATTGAAAGACTCAAGCGGATGGCCTAGCTAGAACAGATGGGTACAGGGTGTCGGCATTTTTAGCCCCAGGAATGGCATTGTGGGAAGTGCTTTGTATTCATGCTTGTCAATGTGAAAGAAGCTATTTGCATATATATTTGCATGTATATGCAACCACACTTAAGTTGCGGCCCTCGGCATGTGCTGTGAGCATCATTGTGGCCCCTGGCTTAAACCCTTCATTACCCAAAAAAGCTTCCTATTTATTATCAAACTAGCAAATAAAGTGAATGGATTTATTATTTTTCATGTCCTCCATATGCTATCTTTGTAAATGGACTGTAGGAATATCATTGCTTGGTGACCTCTCTTGCTGTCATGCCTCCTATTTATTGGAAGTTAAAATGCCTTTTGTATTCCTTTCAGAGCTCTGGGGATATATTCTGCTTTCATGTGTCTTCACCATCTAGTGTAACCTCTTCATATTGCTTTTTTAAAGATTACCATCCTCCTTAAAGATGGATGGAGACTCGCTTTGTATCCTCCAAGAACTCGTTAATCTGCTGTTGTGACATGAGACGCTTCTGCTCCTTGGGTCTCAGTACTTTGCCTTGTATAGTACTTACTGCCCTCGGACCAGGAGAAAGGGTCAAGAATTGAGCCCAAGATTTCTGCATAAGTACCTTTGTGTCTGGTTTTGGGCCAGTCCTGCAGCGGTCTTAGTGGGATGAATTAAAGAACCTATTGTAGTAGTTCTCAGATTTTTTGTACTGCTGCTCTGGAGAGCAAATTCTGTCTTTCTATTTCTAGGTTCTTATTCAGTCATCTAGGACTTTCATTGCAAAGAAAGGGATGAATGCCTGTAAAACATGGTAGAATGTACGAAGCCAGCTAGCTGTCTCTGCTACTGTATGATGCTATATTACAAAAGGAGGAGGAAGGGAGACCGAGGGCATGAGCCAACCAGCTAACAGTTTCTAAATGTTTTCCTTGTAAGCAATTGATATAGTTGCTTCAATAATTTTGTGTTTGTGTATAGCAGGGGTTCTGAACCAGGTAAGAAGATGGATCCATGAAACAGTCTTTTAAGATGTGTCCACATAATGAAAAAGTTTCAGAGCCTTGCCCTGATAGGTCTTTTTCATCTTCAATGTATATATGATATTACGTATATATTGTGTCTTTACAGTTTTGTTGGAAGCAATTATGAAGAATGGAAGTGCTGCTGGGAGTGCTCCATATTGCCAAAAGCCAGCAAATGGTAATGATCAAAGTAAACCCAGTACCACAAAGGACAGCAATGCATCTGCTGCAGGTGAAAGTGGAAAAGGCTACACCAAAGATCAAGTGGAAGGAGTATTCAGGTATCAAATTATATAAACACGTCACCTCTTGTATCATATGCATGTGGATATTATTCACTCAAACTTCCAGGTAAAAAAAAAATCTAAAGATGCATCTCCTAAATCTAGCTCATCTTTAGAGCGGAGATGCTGGTACTGAATAGGAACTTTTTTTTAATAACACAAATTGTGACATTCATTCTTTGTAAGGCTACGTCTAGACTGGCCCCTAATTCCGGAAAAGTCATGCAAAGCAGGTAAGTCAGAATAGGGAAATCCACGGGGGATTTAAATATCCCCCGCGGGATTTAAATAAACATGTCCGCCGCTTTTTTTCCGGCTTGGGGAAAAGCCGGAAAAAAGCGTCTACACTGGTGCGATCCTCCGGAATAAAGCCCTTTTCTGGAGGATCTCTTATTCCTACTTTCAAGTAGGAATAAGAGATCCTCCGGAAAAGGGCTTTATTCTGGAGGATCGCGCCAGTCTAGACGCTTTTTTCCAGCTTGGGGAAAAGTAGGAAAAAAAGCGGCGGACATGTTTATTTAAATCCCCCGCGGATTTCCCTATTCTGACTTACCTGCTTTGCATGACTTTTCCGGAATTAGGGGCCAGTCTAGACGTAGCCTAAGAATTTTGTAGAAATCTACATTGCAAATATCCCTACCTGTTAAAAAAATCCAAGAGTTATTGAGAAGCTGTCATGTAAAAATGACAGTGATTGTGGAAGTCCTGTTGTAAATTTACAAGGGCAGTGTTTCTACCTAGGAAGAAGTATATTTTAGACACTCATAAATATCTAAGTAAGACTTAAAAATCCAGGGGTTAGAACTGTGAGAAGTATTAACACATTCCCATCTAACATTAAAAGTTTCAAAACAATCACACTGTGCACATGGGGGTTTAGATTAATTTGAATATTAAAATCAACTCCTTATTGGAAGGTGCTATATCTGAGGAATCTTTTAACTAAATTATTCCAATTTTGCTCCATGAAGTATATTTCTGTCTCTGTGTGGTAAATCAAGCTAATCTCACTGTTTGTGTGTATTTTAGAACATTTGGAAAATTAAAAGCTCCCTGTCTTGGCATTGCCTATGTATTGGAAGCAGTTTGATTAAATGGTCCCAAATTCACATTGCAAAGTCTGCCTTTAGCCACTGTTGTAGTCTGCTGATGCGTGTGGATTTTTAAAATGCTTTGATTATTAAAATCATCTCATTATTGTGGGAACTTGTGTATGAGGAATCCCTTGACTAAAAGACCTCTGTTTGGACTACTAATTCTACTACTGGGCTTAATGTAGTGCAGCAGTATTACAGTGAAAGATTAGAGCCGCCACAGTTAAGAATGTACCTTGACTTTCATTCTGTCGAGATGAAAAAGTATACAAGAAAACAGTTTCTTTTTTTAGATTAGTATTAGATTTTTTAGATTTAACATTTTAAAATATTTCTGGTAGCTTGAGCAAGCATGGATTTTTTTTTTTTTTTTTTTTTTTCCCCCCCCCCACCCTTATGGCAATTAGTGAAGGGAGTCATGATCTTTGAGACCAGCTATAACTGTTTAAAAAGGGCCATGTAGCTACAATTTTTCTAATGTCTTGCATTTCCTTTGAACCTTCTCCCCCAAGGACAGCACTTTGAGGGATGAAATCAATAGTTCCTTTTGGTTTGTGCGAATTGGATGAATTATCTTAAAAAAAGAAAAAACATTGGTTTTTAAAAAACTGTTAAATACTGTTTATAATACATCTATAATTATTGTTTTGATGATGGAGCTGTCCTGCACATTAACATCAACCCTATGCCAATGTTTGGCATAGGGTACACTGTTATGAGTTTTTTCCTGAAGTTCAGTAACTCCTTAGATCAAACCAACATTATTAAAAGTTGTTTTTTGGTTACACCCTGTCTCGTTCAGGAAACTGGTGAAGCGTATGCATCATGCTTAGAGAGCTCTAGTGCTGCTGCTTACTAGAGTCTTTCATCATCTCTGTTTAATACCATTTTCTTTGCAATACTTCTAACGTAAAATGTGAGTGTGCATGAGGATTTTAGAGCTCTTTGAAATATCAGCTCTTACCTTAAAAGCAAAGCTTCCAGTTTAAAAATATATGTAGTGAGCAACATATACAGAACTTTCAGAGTTGTGAACACTAAAGTTACAAACTGTCCAGTAAGTCTCCCATCTCATCTGGAACTGGGAGTATGCTATCCGAAAAATACCATATAGTATAGTAGTTTACATGTAAACTACTAAAAAGCTAAAGGGAACATTTAAAGAAAAAGGTCAGACGATGTGAGGAAATTGTTTCATTTAAAAGCAACATTTTTCTTCTGCATAGTAAAGCTTCAAAGCTGTGTTTAAATCAATACTCAGTTGAAAATTTTGAAAAAACAACCAAAACATTTTATATAGGGTGTATAAAACATTTTATACAAACATTTCAGAGTTACAAATTTCCTCCATTTTTGAAGTGTTCATAACTCTGAGGCTCAACTGTGTTATAAGAGTTGCTGAGGGCGAGATTTGAACTCATAGTATGTGTATGTTGCAATGTTCAAAGGGCACAGTATGTCACTTTGAATCACCCATTAGTAATTTTGACATAGGCTCTGTGCAGGCAATTAAGCATGCCTTTAAGAACTACATCATAAAATCCCACTCATAAATGAGTTCAGCTCAACCGTAAAACTAATTTATTTGTTAGTGCCCAGTGTTGTTGTAAGGCTGTTCCCGAGCCTTTTTCTTCTGATAGTTAGAAACCTAATTTCCATCCTGCCATTTGTTCCTGGTCAGTTTATATCCATTTGTTCTTAGATCAGCATTGTTCTTTAGCTTAAATAGCTGTTTACCTTCTTCCCTTTTCTCCCCCAGATGTATTTATAAACAGCAGTCTTTTATTCTCTCTCGTATGAAACAAACCAAGCTCTTACGATAAGAGAGGCCCTCTATTTTCCTTATCTTCCTAATAGCGCTTCTCTGCAACAGTTCAGTTTACATTTTTCTGAATATGGTTAAGGAGAATTGTACATAGTATTCCAAATGAGCTCTTACCAGTGCCAAGAACAATGGCATTATTTCTCTATCTCTACTGGAAATGCCTTGCCTGATGCATCCTGGGACTGTATTTGCCTTTTTTTTTTCAGCCACATCAGTGGTCGCTTATTGTCCACCTGTGGTCAACAAACGCACCCACATCGTGACTGCTTCCTTCCAACTTATGAGCCCCCAAACTTGAAGCAGAAATTCTTATTAATAGCCCCTAAATGCATGATTTCACAGTTTGTATTACTGCTGCGCTCTAGGCATCCCATTTCTGTTGTCCTACAAGGTCATCCAAATATTCCTGTATAATATGCAGTTCCTCCTCTGTATTGACAGTACCCTCCTTTCTCGCCCCCTGCACACTTTGTATCATCAGCAAATTTCATTAGCACACTCCTACTTTTTGTGACAAGGTTATTGTTAAAAATATGAATATAATTCTTTTCAAAGAAGAAAATCGGTGAGTCTGGCACAATCTACCCTTTGGTGAACCCATGTTGCATTATATCCCCTTTTCTGCTTACCTTCATGAATTTAATTATTTTTCCTTCATGATTTGTTCCAGAGTCTTGATTACTACTGAGATTAGACTAACAGATCTGTAATTGCTTGGATCACTTGTGACCCCTTTTTTTAAGTTACAGGTATGATAGCTATTCTCCAGTCATCTACCCCCAGATAGATATATTAAAAAATCCCTTACTACTGGATTAGCCAATCTGTTCTCATGGTCAATTGAGTAAAGGATAGGGAACTACTGTATGAATAAAGACTGGATTAATATGCTGAAGTATTTTATGTATTTTACATGTAAGTATTTTGATGGAGTTTTAATAGCGTTAACTAGTTTTACATATAAATGGTGAATGAATTTTTTAGTCAGGTTTTTTTCACATTTTTCTGTTTTGTATAGGACAAATCCCTAAATTTTAATGTGGTCTCAGTTTTGTTAGTTTTTGCAGCAATTGGACAGTACAATTAAAACTGTTCTGAATGTTTAACATAGTTTTTAAGAAGAGCTCATCTTCTTTCTGTTGCCCCAGCTGTCTCCCTGCAGCATTTGAATACATATTGATAATCTAATGGATACTGAGAGAAGACATTCAGGATCCAGCTACAGTGAATATGTGTGTTTCATAGAGGATTTTGTTTGTTTTCATCAGTACTGACAAGCCTGTAATATAGAAGGACCTTACCTTTGAGATTCCTGTAATGGAACATTCTTCACTAGAATTCCTGACATGATCAGACTATTCTAAATTTGCTTGTTATAATAGTAGATTTAAGATGCACTGTGGAGACATGTTTGGAGTAGAAAAACTCAACAGATGGATTTACTGCTTTAGTTTTCATCAGCATTGCTCTAGTATTGTTGATAGATACAAATATAAACAAGCACCATGGTGCTGCTTTTTAATTTCTTCCATATGCACAAGGGACATGGCTCTCCAACAAGCTACTATAGCACTTCTGTAGAGCATTGCATGATAATGCAAACAAGTTGCTCAATGGGGAGAAGTGTAAGATGCAATACCTTTCCGTTGATTGCATAAGTACTGACTGATATGATCTGAATAGTAAAAAAGTTGAAAAGAGAACTACTTGTTCAGTGCAAAAGTTTGAAGACTCACATGCTGAGAGGCACTTCTCTTGTGGACTGAAATGCATTTGAAAATAAGATATGTTTTGAAACATTAGGTTTGCTGCTAATTGTAATTATCATCTTCAAAATATGCATAAATAGTGACGGTAGAGCCAAATGCAGGACAGATCAGACTCGCTCCCTCCTGTTTTTATGCTATCTCCACCTCAAAACCTCTACTACAAAGCAAAGAGTTTACTTCTTGACCACAGCACTTAATTTACAGTAAACAAACATAACAAAGACAGATGGGAGAAGCTTGTCCCCCGCCTACAGATACATACATGCTACCCTCCCAATCCCACAGAAACTAGAATAAGGTCCTGGACAGGGTTATACCTATTAGGAATGAGAATTACTGGATGGTGGCATGAGTGAGTGTCTGGCATGGGCCATGCGGAGAATGCCACACTAAGGGCAGATTGCAACAACACAGACAATGCTTGAAAACTGGCTTGTTCTGTAATTAAAGTAATCAGACCAGAATCAGAAGAGATTCTGCAGCAACACACTGGTTAATAAGCCAAACACAGTCCCCTTTAGACAATGCAGCCATTCGTAAACAGGAATACTATAGTGAATGTTTATTGAAAACCTAGCTCACCATATTGTGAGGTTCTACCAATCCCAAAGGATCGGATGTTTAACCCTGGGTCAAGATGAGTGTCAAATATTAGCCAAATATCACACTGTCAGCCAGTCCTTAGTAAACTAACTAAAGATATATTAAGAAAAGAATAAAGTTAAGGAATCATTAAAAGATGATATACATTAAAAATGCTTGCAAGATCCTTAGATTTGTTTCAGTGATGGATGAGTCTGCTGGCTTGCAGAAATCTTTCTGGAGTTACCCCAAAAGGTTATAAAGCAAACACAACTTAGATGTAGATCCTGTTACTCTGAAAAATGCCAAAAAAGATTATTCCAAGTAACTACTTGGAATATTTCAGTCCCAGGGCATAAACTTTTCCTGTTTAAAGTTCAGCAGACGGGAGATGCGGGCTCAGACTTGAGGTTTCGCTTTTATAGATGAAGGGGGCCTTCGAGTGTTTTGAACACAGGATATGACTGAATTCTTTTTTGAGCACACACTGGTGTGTTTAAACAGAAAAAGCCCATCACTTTGAAGTTAACATTCAATTCCCAGTGTATATACTGTAATCTAGTTAGACTAGAAGGCAACATCCATCCATTCATTCATCACAGCAAGGATAGACAAGATGATCAGAATGTAGCTAACATTAGTTTCTGCAGTATCTCTCATCTTTGATCTTAACGGAACAGGTTTGCATACGTAATGTAAGGCAATTATGACATGAAAATTATTTATCCTCTCATTTGGATGCATTGATAAAGTTCTAACATGCTAAATGTGTTTGCTTGTTTACCAATGTCATCTACCCTTGATTTCTGTTCCCACAAATGAATGGGTTAGTGATTGCTGATCTGGTATATCTGTTTGATATCCCCATACAAGTAAATTGTCCTGATATAATTGTAATGCTTCTTTTTGAGTTATGGGTCACGCCTGTCAGTTTGCCAATATCATGGGTGGATGCGGGCTTTGCCTTTCTGCTAGAAGCAGCACTGCAAAACACCTGGAATGGTTCTGTAAGCTACCAGCAAGCCACAGAGCATATTTGTCTAAACTGTTTTCATAAACTTTTTAAAATCCCTTTAACAAGGAATTTATTGTGAAACATGTTAATCCTTCCTGTTCCTTTCAGTGCTGACAAATGGGGTATGTAACTGTCTGTGGCAGCTTCAGAAGAGGAGTCTAAGAAACACAGAATTGTTATATTTTACATCCCCCCATGTTCAAATAATGCTTTGGAATATTTGATCAAGGAAATCCTAAAAAGGGTTGCCATTTCACACAGGAGTTTTAAAAATTTACTCTTCTTCTGACATTTCCTTGAAATGAGTTTATTCCTTAATCGTTTCATATGCTTCCAATGCTGCTTAATCCCTTCAAGTTACATTCTTCTGTTTATTACTTTAAGAAGTAAGCAACAGGAGCAGATGAACTTCTGCTAATCAAAGATCCTGGTTTCATGAAAACATCCCTCAGCATTAAAGCAAAAATCTCAGTAAATAAACTTGTATACAGTCAAAATTGTGTCTAAATTCAGGCTGCATCAGTAGCTTAAATCTTGGTGTGTTGCTTTGAACCAAGAGGACTCTCTAGTTCAGAAGTGTTCCTGACTGAGCTATATTAACATACGTCACATCTATCCCTAGTAACCAGTTATGGCTTCACCAGTATCTTATTTTCTGGCTTTCTCTCTTATAGGTTGGACTCAAGGTGTTTTTTGGCAGATCAGGCCAGTGGTTTGGAGACAATGATAATGATGGTGACAAAGTTTCCGTTTTCCATGATCTGGATGGTTCAGTGACAGGATATCCAGACACCTTCGTCGGCAGAGCAGACAACTACCTGCTTCGCCATCCAGGTTGTCTTACGGTCCCACGATGGAATGGAATGATCTGTACTGGGAAATATGCGCAGGTAACACAGGGAGATGTCCCCATCTCCCTGGTCTGCTGGAGAGGACAGGACAGCCCAGGCGCGCCTGGGCTGCCCCGGAGCCCCAGCCCCTCCGTGGCTTTGCAAAGCTGCGGGGGAAGCCGGCGGGGGGGA